GGCGGGGGCGGCTGCCCGCGCTGGCGCGGAGACGGCCGAGGCAGGCGGCTGCTCCGGGGGGGCAGGGGAGCTCGCCCGGAGATTCCCGATGAGCTCGCTCCACGTCCTCAGCTGTCACCTTTGGGCTTGAGCTTCAGGCCCCACAGTCTGTTGTCTGCCGGGAGACGCCAGGGCATCCCGGGCACCGGGCTCTGGCGCCCGAGGACCATGACGTGGCGGCCCTTGCGCGCCCCCGTGACGCCCCTGCGTCCTGCCTCCGGCGAGAGGGCCCCCCAGAGACAGGGCGGGGCGCAGCGCAGGCGCATTCACCGAAACCCACTGCCGAGGGGGCGGCGGGCGGCGGGGCGGCTGCTGGGCCCCGGGTCCCTCCCTGGCTGGGGAGGGCTGTGCCCCACACTGGGCCCGGCCGCGCCCCTCCCACCCTGCTGGGGGATCCCCGAGTGCCTGGGCCCCCCGGTGGGCCTCTTGGGCGGCGGGTGAGTCCCCACCCCCGTTGGTGCCTCCTGGCGGGCGCCCCTCCTCCCGCAGCGAGCCGGCCACCGCCGGATGTCCGCGCTCAGGGTCCAGGTGCCCAGCCGAGGAAGGGGAGAGATCTGGGCGCAGGAGCCTTCCTGGACCACCCCCGGTAGCACCCCTCAGGCCCGGAGCCCCCAACGGCAGCAGCCCCCTGCCGGCCCCCTGGGTGCCCCTCGCAGCCCGGAGGACCCCTGCGCCCTCCTGTGAGCCCCAAGCCCAGGGCCCGAGCCCCTCCCTGGAAGGGGCAGGGGCGGGGGACCTGAGGCCAGGCCAGGCCGCCCGTGCTGCTGGGGCGCACTTACTTGGGCAGTCTCTTCCTTCCGCACGAGGACCCCACGCCCCAGCATACACAGCGGGGGCAGCTCCTGCCCAGCTGGCCTCTCCTGTCCAGCCCCGAGGCCCAGGCAGGCGGCCTGCCCACCTCCCGGTGCCCTGGCTCGCAGCTCCTGTCCCAAGGTCTTCCTGGACCTGGGGGTGGGGCGCGTCCTCTCCTGAGGAAGGGCCAGCAAGTCTCGCCCGACGTCCATCTTTCCTGGAGCCGGCAGGAAGCTGGGTCAGGGGCAGGTGTCTCGGCCAGACCCGCCTGCGGGGCCTGAGCCGGCCGGTTCGTCCTGGCCAGCTTCTGGGGCCAGGCCGCTCCGGGGTCCCTACTGCCCAGTGCTTATTCCCTGGTCCGGCCTGCCGGCCTGGACTCTGGGTTTCCTGGACTCCCACCGGTGCTTCAAGGCGAGAGGACAGCAGACGAGGGTCACCGCCCGCACGGGGGCCGGGGGGCTGGGAAGGGGTGCAGGAAGGGGGGCCACCTCTCAGCCTGGGGGGCGGCGGGGCGGGTCTGCTGCTCTGCTTGCCTTTCCCGAGCCGTGTTGAGGGCTCAGCTCCCCGCCCACGTCACTTAAGGGGCGCAGCTCAGTGGGCCCTGTGTGCTCACGGGGTGGTGCGATGCCCCACGGTCCTTAAGGCACTTTCGTCACCCCTAAAAGGAGCCCATACCCCTTAGCCGCCACGCCCCGCTGTTGGCACTCGCCCAGGCTGCTGCTGCAGGCCTTGGGGTCCTCGGCTTCCCCCCAGCACCCCGTGCAGGCCCATGGCTGATCCGGCAGGCCTGGTGCTGGGTTTGCTTTGGGGCCCGTCTGGCTCATTTCCAGGGCTCGGCCCCGGCCAGAAGGGCAGTCAGTGTTGGGGGGTCTCTGCTTTGCATCTGAGGAGTTGGGGGGCCCTGGCTGACATTGGGTTGCAGAGAGCAGATCCTGCAGGGGGGCGGACCTCACACCTTCACCACTCACCCCCTTTCCTGCGCCCCCCCCAGGCCCTAAGTGGGGTCAGCGCTGTCTCCAGGAGCCCGGGCTCCGGTCAGACGACCTGTTTGCATGGCAAAGGCCCCGCAGGCCGGACAGGGAATTAAAGTCATTAGCAAGTCTTTCCAGGGATAAGCCCTCCCCAGCCCCTCTCCCACCGGCCTGCTGTTTATTAGCACCCGGGTGTGAGTTTTCATTAGCACGTCAGCTAATAAGCCCCCGCTGGCGGGAGGGGCCGGGCAGCCACCTCCGTCTGCAGGAGACCCCACCCGGCTTCCAGCCAGGGGGCGGCAGCTCTCGGCGCTCAGTGCGCCTGTGAGGTCGCCCCCAAGCCGGCATTGTAAAGGTGGGGTGACCAGGAGGTGCCCGCCAGGCTGTGGGGGGGCAGTGCTGGAGTTGGGGTGCATCTGCACCCCAGAGCCCATGCGCTCACTCCCAGGGGGACTGCCCCCAGCCTCCTGCCTGTGTCCCCGGCCTGGGGGCCTCAGCAGAGTGCCCTGGTCTGGCAAGGTCTGGGCACATCAGGGCACACACTGCTGGAGGCAGCGAGGCGCCTGTCCCCCCCCAAGTCCGGCCCAGTGCTGCCTGGAGCCGGCTGGGAGCAGGGTGGGGCTGGGGGCTGCTCTGGTGAGGGCGGGGCTGGTGCTGTTGCCTGTGGCTGGGGGGGAAGAGAGGGGGCAGCAGTGCCTGCGCCTGCCCAGCTGGCCACTGCGCCCCCCCTTCTGGTCTCTGGAGCTGGGCCAGCAGGTAAACATGTGTGTGCAGGTGAGTCCTGGGCACTTGGGCCCCCGGCCAGCAGGGAACCCCCAGGCTGGCCACACAGGCCTTCAGCTTGTGCGGATTCCAGGAGGGGCAGCTGAGCAGCCGCCCGGCCGAGGGCACACGCCGCACGGCCCTGGGGCGAGGGGCAGCGCCCACTGCCCGCACCGAGCCGCAGGCTGTTCGGGAGCAGGGAGGGACGGCGGCCTGCACGAGGCACCGCTGTGGCCACGCTGCTGGTGAACGGCCCATCCCGGGTGGGCCCAGGGTCCCGAAGCCTCCCTACCCGGAGCCAGCACCCGCGGGTCGGCGGCGTTCAACACCTGCAGTTCCCGCAGGAACCACACGGTGTCCTCAGAGGGCAGCTGCGGCCTTCAGGCGGCCACCGGCCCTCACCCAGCCCCCACCTGCACCCAGCGCCCCTCGCAGTCAGTCTCCGGAGGACGGCTGGGGCCCCACCACCTCACCTGCCCCACGTGGCCTCCAGGGCCACCCAGCCACGGCCCGCCTCTCCAAGGCCGTCGGTGACCCTCAGGATCAGAACGGAGGACAAAAATGTGGGGGGCGGGAGGGGGCCCCGCGGCAGCAGGGTGGGCTGGGCGCTGCTCATCGGAAGCAAGTGTCGCTGGACTGGGCGGCTTCAGCGAGTCGGGTCCTGGCGCAAGTGGCGGCGCGGGCGGGACGGCAGGCCACGGGTTCCACACCAGAGCCACGCGGACTCCACAGACAACGTGGCTGTTTATTGGGACACAGCGGGCCAGAGGAGACGCCCCGTGACTCCCACGCCCCGCTGTGGAGGCCGGAGGGCGAGTCCGGGCGCCCCAGAGCCCAGGGCAGCCAGCGGCCCGGTCACTTCTTGTTTTCTCTTTCGAGGAAGATGGAGAACTTCCGGAGCCGGGGCCAGCGCTCCTGCTCGTTCACTTTGCTCCTCTCCAGCTTTTCAAACCTGTCGGCCACACAACAGGAGGGGAGTGGAGCCCACTCTGCCAGGATGCCACCCTGGCCCCGGCCTCCCCCCTGGGCCC